AATATAGCATTTTAGGCCACGGCCGCCATCTTGGATTTTGAAATTTTGAAAATCTAACAAAAAATTCGAGTTCCCCGTCGAAAAGTACCCTAGATCTCCGAGTTTCACAAAAATCGATCAAACAGGAGCCGACTTAGCATTTTAGGCCATGGCCGCCATCTTGGATTTGGAAATTTTGAAAATCTGACCAAAAATTCGAGTTTCTCGTCGAAAAATACCCGAGGATACCGAGTTTCACGAAAATCGATAGAACAGGAGCCGACGTAGCATTTTAGGCCAGGCCGCCATCTTTTGGATTTGAAAATTTTGAAAATCTGACCGAAAATTCGAGTTTCTCGTCAAAAAATACCCCTGGATACCGAGTTTCACAAAAATCGATATAATAGGAGCCGACTGAGCATTTTAGGCCACGGCCGCCATCTTGGATTTTGAAATTTTGAAAATCTGACCAAAAATTCGAGTTTCATGTCGAAAAATACCCCTGGATACCGAGTTTCACGAAAATCGATAGAACAGGAGCCGACTGAGCATTTTAGGCCACGGCCGCCATCTTGGATTTTGAAATTTTGAAAATCTGACCGAAAATTCGAGTTTCTCGTCGAAAAATACCCCTGGATACTGAGTTTCACGAAAATCAATCAAACAGGAGCCGACTTAGCATTTTAGGCCACGGCCGCCATCTTGGATTTTGAGATTTTGAAAATCCGACTAAAAATTCGAGTTTCTCGTCGAAAAATACCCCTGGATACCGATTTCCACAAACATTCGTCGAAAAATACCTCCTAAAACCTTAAATTTCGTCTATAAGGCAGTGACGTCACGCAACAGGATTGAACCTGTTCGGTGCGATGCGCGTAAACAACCGCGTATCTCCAATGTAATACTATATGGAGAAATAACTTTTCGCTCTTGCGGGCATCCGAGGCAGCGGATTTGAATCGGAATAATTTTAATCAACTCCTCATTACAATAGCTAAGCGTGTACCAATTTTAAAGGAAATCGCTTCGGCCAATTTTTCTCTAGAGGGGGCAGAGTGAGTGGGAACAGCAGCTTTATATAGAGTAATAATAATAAAAATTGAGATGTTTAACTAAGTTTGCAGCAATACTAACTCTGCCCTTCATTTCAAACCAAAAACAACTTCAACGGACCACTAGACAAGGCCATACGGCATTTAAATATTATGATGCATGTTTTACATGAAGTTTTAAAGAACAAACAAACATTAGAATGCTGAAATTCGTACCTTGTCTGGTGGTCTAATTCCAGGATTTATCAAAAAAATTTCCTAAATATTTGCGTGGTGACCAAAATTTTCATATTTACAACTTCGTAATATTTTTTCCAATACTTGGCACCTTTAAAGTCTCAAATGGAAGCATCAAAATAAAGAACTGGTAAAAGTGCAATTGCCTTACCGTTGGTTGGATGGTTGTCAGAGGGGTAAGTGTGGTTGACATGATGAGGGCAGGGCTGGTCATCACCACCCTGTTTTCTTGCGAGTGGAGTTGTGGTTGAGGCTGAGGTGTTGAGTGGCCATGACCATGATTGTGGTTCTGATCATCGTGCGGCACTGGTTGAGGCGTTGGCTGCTGCGATTGTGGCCCCTGCCCATCCAGAGACATCAAAGACGTTGAATCGTGTTGCACTCCTTGCGCTTGTTGAGGTTGTGGTTGTTGTGGCTGGGGGCCTTGCTGAGGGTTATCCAACGACAAAACTGATAGCTCTATATTTGACTTGCAGTCATTTTCTTCGTCTGTTGATGTAGCCACCGTCATACAATTGGTCATTGGTTGAAGCTGTTGACAAGAAATTTGCATTAGAAAGAGCTTGTCGGAAATATGATGCCTTTCATGAGAATTCATTTTTAACCCTTTCCGGTCCGCAGCAGTTTTCCACGGCCGCGAGAAGCGAGGTTAAGGTA